TATCCTATGAACAACAATTGAATTAAGCAAACAATTGTAATCAAATTAAGCAGATGACTTCATAGAAAAGGATTGAAAGGAATCAGAGTAAATTGACATAATAATAACCTCAAAGTGTTGAAACCGTACACAGCAGGATTTGCCCAGAGGTATTAGTTCTCCATGAAAACTATAAAACAAAGGAAAAAATTCGGAAAAATAAACTAGGTCCCCGTTTTGCATCACAACAACAACTTTAAATAGAAAATAACTGGGCCAGAAACCTAAACTAGGCCCGCAAGGAAAACTACATTGTCACAAGTCAGAAACTTCAACGAATTATTCGAGACTCAAGAAATCCGAATCAGCTCCTTTGTGCAACATGAAAGTTGTAGATCTCTTTCTTAGCTTTCCAACGACTGGTAGAATGCCTCAATCCGATTCCTGTAGCTCCAGTTATGAATTTTTCACTAAAAGCTATTAATGCTGAAAAATAACAAACGAAAATTAAATAAAGCTTAAAATAAAATAAATTGTAAAAACATTATAAAATAGGAAATTAAATAAACTAAATGGTAGAAATGCCTAAGTCTAAACATAGAGGAAGGTACATTAAAATGCACTGATCAAATTCCCCCACACTTGAACTTTTGCACTCCGAGCAAAGTATTGTCAAAACTCATGAAACACAAAAACATTCAGCTATTCAATCTAGGCTGTGAACTCGTCTTTGGTCAAGATTGCATTGATAGGTACTACTTTTGCATACTAAGGATATCGTAAGAACACAAATCCGCAATTTTGCGATCATAAGACTCCCTCCTATACAAACCAATCCAAATCATGTCGTTATGCCTAAGTCTAACTTACTCATCCTCCTTTTTGCTCTCTTTCATTCTAGTGCAATCACATTAAGCCCTTTATCTATTCACACGCATGGTAACTAAGCTTGTTAGTGACTGTGATCCATATTTATTTTCAACAATTCATAATTAGACATTTTTCTTTGTCTTTTCTTTTCTTTTTTTTCACTTTTTGTCTTTTTCTTTTTCTCTTTTTTTTTTCTTATTAAGCACGGGATCATTCACTTATTTGCATCAGCTCAATTACTTAGCATGTGATTTTTAGATGGTGCTGACTGCTAGATAAACTACTTAAGAGCTATTAAAGAACGAGAACTCAAGACTAAGCCATAACAAGTATCTAAATCGATTTCCATATTTTGGAGACTCAAGGTGTTAAAACGATACCGATCTTATGAATTTTTCTCAAGTCTCTACAATCTGACCTCCAATCGATCTACAACCCAAAAATTTCAAAAAATGCATTGTGTTTTTCTGAGTAAACAATTTTTTTATTAAATGAAAACAAAACAAAGAAAATTGAAAGAAATAAAACAAAGTAAATGGTTCCCTCCCCCACACTTAAAGCATACATTGTCCTCAACGAAAGAACATAAATATAAAATAAGAGTGAGAGAAAGGAAGGAACACACCCGAGGAGTCAAGGTGGATAAGTGATCACATATGCATCCTTTCCCAAAGAGAGATTTCCTGCCGTCTCCTCTTCCAAAGTGGGGAGTAACTTTGGATAGCATCCATCGCCCTTGAAATTTGTATTAGTGTCTTCGCCTTTTATTCCAGGATCAAAGAAGAATCTTCGATAAATAAAAGTGTCGAATGGACACGTGAATTTGGTATCCTTTTCCACAACATCAGAGATCAATGGGTTAAGGGGTTGCTTCATTGCTTTTCTTCCCACTTCCATCGAGGTCCATCCAATTCTCTTCTTATGTTTCTTCAAAACCTGTAAAAGTTTATTATCTTCATCAAAATCAAGGTTAGAAGAAATTATAACTGGAAGCTTTTTATCCATATCTGAATAAGCATAATTCAGATTGGTATGAAGTGGTTTAAGCTCCAAGGGGGAAGGTTGTTCAATGGATGGTGAGGTTGGGGCAGCCGTGATGTTAAGAGTTTTAGCTACATAAACAACTTCATCTGCATGAAAAACATCACCCTGTACGGCAGCATTAATCTCAGCACAAACAGAACAAATGTTAGTGTCGGTACATGAATCACAAGAGTAAGTATCATCATAATCTAATAAAGATGGAAAATCAGATAACAACTCAGGATGAATATCATCAACTAAATCAGATGGTAACTCTTTTGGATTCACTACTGTTTGGGCAGATAGTTGGTTTGATTCTTGAGCTTGTTGCATGGCATTCAGTATAGTGGCAAACTGTTCAATCTGTGTCTGCAGAGCCTGAAGACTTGAATCTGTTTGTTGCTGAAACTGAAGATCATTTATAGCCATTTGCTTGACAAGGTCCTCTAATGAAGGTTCAGAAGGTGTAGAGCATACAATTTGGAATTCATTCATATGCTTATTCGGATCCTCACCTGCAAGTCCATTAAGCCTTGGCAACAAGTGTATTAAATCAGATTCCAATTCGAAAGGTACACTAACAACAGGATATTCCATACATAAAGCATTATAGTTCGTATCATAGGCAACAAGTTCTCTAAGAGTTATTTGATTTGTCATATTAAATTTAATAGGAAAATCAACAAAGAAAATAAAACAAAGAACAAATTCGGCAATGCAGCAACAATTAGAAAAATACCAACAATGTCCCGTTAAGAAAAAGAATGGAAAAATAGAAAACCGAATAAAATTAAATCTAAAAATTATAAAAATATAACTAAAAATCAAATAAAATCAAAATGAGTCAATAAAAAAAATTTCGGATTTTTTTGAAAATATGAAAATAGAAAAAAAATAAAATAAAATAAAATAAAAAAAATAAAGAAATAAAAAAATTTCGGATTTTTTTGAAAAATAAAATAGAAAAATAAAATAAAATAAAATAAAATAAAATAAAATAAAATAGAAAAATAAAATAAAATAAAAAAATAAAATAAATTGTAAAAACATTATAAAATAGGAAATTAAATAAACTAAACGGTAGAAATGCCTAAGTCTAAACATAGAGGAAGGTACATTAAAATGCACTGATCAACTATGTATCCCCGAAAGCATCATTCTAGACCCACCCTTGGCCAAGGGAATTCCGCCGTAGTCGTTGGAAAACCTGCAGCCTCCTCGAGACACTCATCGTGTCCGCCGTAGGAGTTGTCGGAAAATAAAGAAACAAAAGAAAAAGGATGAACAAACTTACTTGGTACCAATAGTTTGGGTAGAGACGCGATGGACTTCACGGTGGACAACGTGGCGACGATGATTGCACGACGATGTAGACAGTGGGGGAGTAGGAAACAATTCCGCTCGTTAGAGTTGGGAGCAAAAAGTGAAAAAGGGGCAGACCCCAGCCTACTTATAAGCCTAACACGAAACTCGAAGTCCCCATAGGCACTCAAGTAGCCATACAACTAGCCGTCCTAGGAGGGGCAATGGCCGCCTGACACGTGGCAACTGTGACAAACCGTGTCCCTTCGCTTTCCCTCAAGCTCATAAAGTCAGCGCTCCCGGTCACCTTTCACCTCCCTGACATGCTGTTCCAACGAGCGCGACTCTCAACCCCATCTTCCAGGCATAAGACCCCCTTTTCAATTTGTCATCGACCTTGGCTTGTCCTTAAGTCGTCATCCTCCACCTCGAAGCAACGACTTGGGGGGCTCTTATTCTAGACTGGACCGAGACCTGCCCTTCAGCCGGACAGACCTAACCCAATGCTATGCTGACGAGGCCTAATCCTCCTTCGTCGGACACAAACCTCAACCAAACACATGCATCGAGCAGAGACCTTCCTGACGGGAAACTCACGCACTTCCCCCACGTCCTCCACGTGTTTCCCACGTGGGGACATGTCATCAGACAACTATCCACCTTCGAAAGAGTCGGCCAACCCAACTTCCGAAGATCACGGGGGCAGTTGATCTAGGGCGAATGCCACATGCTGGTCTTCACTATGCCACACAAACCCTGACAATCATTTGGATTGGGCCTGACAGTCTGAACCAATACAATGTAATCGTTGGTCCTGTGTTGTGGGCACACTATAAATACCCTCTTTCACTAGAGGATCAGGTAACTTCTTATCCATACCTAACCTCCGTGCTTACTTTCTCTCTGATCTTTTACTCACTTACACCCCCCTTTCTCTCCACAACTCCGGTGAAAACAACAATCCAACGACGTGTGATTGACCATTGATTCCTTTTGATCAGGTGAGATCATATATATATATATATATATATATATATATATATATATATATATATATATATATATATATATATATATAATATTTCAATTTTTTTACTAATTATAAAATAAAATATAATAATAATAATTTGTTTTATAATTTATATTTAGTGATAAAAAACAATTCATATTTTTATTGATGTTAGACAACCAAAATATTTATAACGTGTGTGAATTTAGCTTCTAAACATATTACATTTCTATTTCATAATACAAGGAAAAAAAAAAGATTTTACAAAAGATTAATTGAAATTTGAAAGCAATTTTACACTGCCATATAATTAAAATTAATTATTTCGAATATAGATGATGAGAGAAAAAATTTAAAAATATTTATTAGAATAATTTAATTATAACACACTATTTTATTTTTAATTTTAAAGTTTATGCAATAAAATAATTAGTTTTATTTGGATAGTAGATATCTCGTTAAAATAAACACTGTAATAACTAACGTAAAAAGAAATAAAAGATCTATTTATAATTTTGTTATATGGTACAAGACCAATAAAAATTAACTAAAATATTCACCAAAGTGGCACGTGCCCCAAAAGAAGGTGTATTGTTAAACGGTGTTGGGTATTGGTGTGCCAGACCCGTCAATCCGACGACTCATAACGGAGTCTGAATATTTCTCATTTTGTTAAGCGCTTCTTTTCTCATCTCACCGTCGACGACGTTCCCTCGCTGTTCTTCCTCAAAAACCCACAGATCTGCGGCGAAACCAACGTTTCTGATTAATCCTGCTCTTCGTCGGTCAAATTGGAAGTTGATACACTGGATCAGAGATGCCGGTGGCTGCTTCCGCTGTCTACTTCTTGAACCTCCGCGGAGACGTTCTCATCAATCGTCTTTATCGCGACGATGTTGGGTAAAATCTCATCTCTATCTCTTTCAGTAGAGATCTTAGTGATGAAATGAAATGAACAGTTTCAATTTTTTTGTACTCTCAAACATGCTATGACCTAGTTTTTATCATATTCTTCAATTCTGAGTTCGGATTCTGGAAAGTAATTCGTGCTTATTCATGCTTATTCGTGTGTTAGATGTTAGATTGTATTGGTTGCTTATATGAAAACTATTTTGAATGTTTTGATTGAAGTATGTTATGTTATCACACCACGGTTTCAATTTTCTAACAATTTTTGTGGCAGATTTGCTGAACATTTTAGTTTAATGCAGCTAGGACTAGTTATAATGAGTTTTTTTCCTCTTATAATATTAATGCCTCTTTGGGAAATCCTGGAACTTGTTGATTGAGTTGTTAGAGGTTAAAATAGGATTCTATACGATGCTTGATTGTATATTATAATTGGTTGCTTTACAGGGGAAATATGGTTGATGCTTTTCGGACGCATATAATGCAAACAAAAGAACTTGGTACCTGTCCTGTGAAGCAGATCGGTGGTTGTTCTTTCTTTTACATGAGGATAAGCAATGTCTACATTGTGATTGTTGTCAGCACCAATGCTAATGTAGCTTGTGCTTTCAAGTTTGTAGTGGAGGTATTTAAACTCTGATTTTTCATTGCCCTTCATCATATGTTTGGGTTTGCCCATCAAACTATGATGACTTGTCTCTAGAAACAAAGGCTTTGAGGTCTTTGTTTTTTGTGCATACATGACTTTCTTTGGGCATCTCATTCTTGATGCTTGATTATGATTAACATTTGCATGCGATTATATAAATGATTGTTGTATGTCATTTTTTCTTTCTTTGAAGGCTGTTGCATTATTCAAATCATATTTTGGCGGCGCCTTCGACGAGGATGCAATTCGCAACAATTTTGTACTCATTTATGAGCTTCTAGATGGTATGTAACCTGCATGTTGGTGAATTAAATTCCTTCGATGTTCAATTTTGATATTGTTCTGTTATGCCTACTACTTCTGAAAGTCAATGCAAGGGTTTTAGTTAATAATTCCAGTAGTTAGAAGGATATTTTCTAGTTATGTTCTTATATGTCTTATCTTATCTGTCCAAGTTTTCTATATGAATTGAAGAGTTAGTGAGTTACATTATTACATATGTGAATATATGAAAGTGACGGACCCTGTGGAGCCAGTATAACAGCTAATATTAACAGCCAAGTAGTGCAGCACTTAAGTTATTGCCATAAGATCTGTAAGATGTATTCTATATAGTGGGAAAAAAGGGACGGGTGGAGGAAAAATAATGGGAGAGGCGTAGTTATGCAAGTGGCAATTGAGTGGTTGCTGGAGAGTGTATCATGGCAGACAGTGATGAATAGAAGATTAGGTATTTTGGAATCATGGGAATATGCCTTGGGCATGGGTAGTAAGTTAGCATTCAGTAGCTACTAGCTATTTCTCGTGAATTTGCCTCGGGAAGTGGTAGTAAGTAAGCATTCAGTAGCTACTTCTCATTTGCACTGTAATAGTTACAATTCCTTGCTATTAAGTATCAAGCATTATTCGTTTTCCTTAGTAGTAAAATCAATCATTCTCATTGGGGTGATTTCTTTTCTAGTTTGCATCAATAAGCGGGTACGGGTACCTACCTATACGAGGAGGGTGATGCAAGAGCATTATTCCGTGCCTTACAAAATTTATGATTTCAAGTTCCTTGAAATATGAAATACAACACACGTGTGACACTATTTACCGCTTTTAAATGCCTCTTGTTTTTCTCTATTTCACTAAAAAAAATTATGACATGGTTATAAATTAAAAAACAATTATGACACGGTTTATACATTTTGTAGTTGACAGAAACTTTGAGCTAGTAAAGGGTGAGATATACTAGAGTCTTTGTTGCAGCTTGCAATTTTCGTTCCTGTTGCAAAGTCTAAAGTTGCAAACTCTAAATTATATCAGTAATAATTGTTTGACCAAAATAATAAGTCATAATGTCATCATCTCTAGAGAATTTAATGGAAACTACACTGGTTAAAATAGACAAGGTTTGAATATGTTTTTGGTCCTTGCAGATGTAACACCTTTTGTTTTTAATCCTTTTAAAGCGATTTAATCTTTGCAAATGTATACTTTTTGTTTATGGTCCTTGTTTTTTTTTGTCCCTCAAATATTTGTTTAAGTTGAAATTGATCTTTGGCTACATGGATTAAACCATGCCATAATGTTCTATTGTAATCATACCTCTATCCAACTCATTGATTTTTAGATCTTTTAAAATAGTTTTTCTTATGGTTTTTTCAAGTCTTCCTTTGCCTCTAGTAATTTGACTACCCTATATTTGATCTATTCTCCTTACCACAAAATTTACAGGTCTTCTCTCTACATGTCCAAACAACCTAAATCGAGTTTCCACCATAGTTTTTATGATGTGTTATCCTTAATCTCTCTAATGTTGTCATTTCTAATCCTACCATCTAGACTTACCACATATTCGACGTAACATCTTCATCTTTGCTACACTTAATTTATTTTTGTGTTGGTTCTTTACCGCCCAACACTTGGTTTCATACAACACTTGTACTACAAAGTTTTTCTTTCAGCTTGAGTAGTACTTTTGTATCTCATAAACATTGTAGTTCCTCCTTAATTTCAACCACCTAATTTGCATTCAATGGTTTACATCTCATTCTATTTCTTCATCGTTTGTACCATGAACCCAAGATATTTTAACCGAATAACTTATGGTGTGCTATGATCTTCAACTCTCACCTCTAAGCTGAAGATGCTAAGCTTTTTGCTAAAATTGCATTTCATAAGCTTTGTCTTGCTTCTATTCAGGCAAAAGCCATACGCTTCGAAGATTTGTCTCCAAGTCTCCAACCTCCCGTTTAATTCTTCCCTCGATTCTCCAAGTATTAATATAGCTTCTAGAAAAAGCACGCATCTCAATGGTGGCTCTTGGATGTGTTTCGTAAGTGTCCAAAAAGATAAGGGCTTAGAGTTGACTTTCTAAAGCTTTTCACAAAATCTTTCTAAGCACATCACACGCCTTCTCCAAACCAATGAAACTAAGTGCAAGTCTTTTTGATCCATATAATATCGCTCCATCACACGCCTTTGTAAGTTGATTGCTCCATGGTCAACCTCCCAGGCATAAAATCAAATCAAATTGATTATCAGTGACGCGAGTCTCTTTCCATAACTTCATGATACGACTCATAAGTTTAATTACTCTATAATTAGCTCAATTTTTTATATCTCGTTTTTGTATATCGAAATTAAAGTGCTTCTTCTCCACTTGTCCAACATTTCCTTTGACCTCATAATCTCATGAAAAAACTTTGTGAGCCACCTAATGTCTCTATTTTCTAGATTTGTCGTCTGGCCCGACTGCCTTGCCATTATCCATCCTTTTTACCGCTTCTTTTACGTATACTTTTGGCCTTCTTCTCTAATGTCTAACCTGTTAAGAGTCTCGATAGAATCTCACATCATCCGTTAAATAGGCTGTGGAAATAATTTCTTCCATAAAAAATGTATAAGGACTAAAAGCAAAAAATGGTATTTGCAGGGTCAAACAACATATTTAAGCCAATAGATAATAACCCAAGGAACTGCAATGGAAGTGGCTGGTGTTTCACGCTTTTGTATTTGATTCTGCTGCAGTGCTTTTGCTTCATAACTGTATAAGGTGTTTTTGTGCATCTATCTATTTTGCAAAAGGTTCAATAGCTTTGTATAACTATATAAGACAATGCATTGTTCTTGTTTGTGACAGAAAATATTTATCATTTGAATCATTGGATGAGTTAGTGATAAGTATTTACAAGTACTTGCAGAAATCATGGACTTTGGTTATCCACAAAACCTTTCACCAGAGATCTTAAAGCTTTATATCACTCAAGAAGGAGTCCGATCCCCGTTTTCATCCAAGGTTAGTTTGCACGTGCTATTGTAATTACCTTGAAAGAAGGACATGGTTGCAGATATGATAGGCCACAATCATGTTCATGGTTCATACAGACATGATTTATTTTTGAAAAAGGGAATCTTGTAGAATAAAATATATACTGATTGATATATACCAAATTTCAAATAATATGCAAAAGAAATTTTCTTTCTGCAATTCTTTTTTTGGAGGACGGGACGGCCCACTGATACCTGTTCGAAATGTGTCAAGTTCATTGTGTATACCTCTCAATTTTCTTTGTTTTATTGTTTGCATTGCTCAATATGTTTGGTCTATTGGATATTTCATTACATCCTTTATTTCATTTTTTAACGTGTGCATTGCTTTGGGGCAACAGGCATCAGAGAGACCTGTTCCAAATGCGACGTTACAAGTTACCGGTGCTGTTGGTTGGCGGAGAGAAGGCCTTGTATACAAAAAGAATGAGGTGGATTTTACACCATCTGGCTTCTATTTTTTTATGATTGTTTCCATTCTATTTCAAGTTTACAACGTTGCATATTACAGGTCTTCCTAGATATTGTGGAGAGTGTGAATCTTCTTATGTCGTCAAAAGGTGAGTTATGATCATGATCTTTGATTGTATGTTGCTGTTTGCTAGATTTCCTGCTAATTGTTTTATGGTTTTAGGTGTTGTTCTGCGTTGTGATGTAACGGGGAAGATTCTTATGAAGTGCTTTCTTTCTGGAATGCCTGATTTGAAGTTGGGTTTGAATGACAAGATTGGCCTTGAGAAAGAGTCACAACTTAAATCACGTCCTACTAAAAGGTAGTTATCATTTGGACATGATTTCCCTACATTTTTCCTTTCAACGGTATTTTCCAATTTTTCAATTTGGTCCTTTTAGTGTGTTGTACTGGTAGATATTAGACCCTCCTGTTTTGTTTTCTTTAATCTTCTGATACTATTGTTTTTTATTATCAACAAAATCTGTTTTGTAGTGGCAAAACTATTGAGCTTGATGACGTCACTTTCCATCAATGTGTAAATTTGACGAGGTTCAACTCGGAGAAGACTGTTAGTTTTGTGCCTCCAGATGGTGAATTTGAACTAATGAAGTAAGTTGATGCCTGTTGATTCTTGTTTTGTCAAATTTTATTTTATGAACCTATACCAAAAATATCACATGCATATTTGGTGGGAAAGGGGGGAGGCGGGTAGAAGGATTTGAAATTCAATCCCTCTGCCCTTTAAACCAATTGGTAGTAACTATTTCAAGGCCTCTCACTAGGTTTATGTTGACTTTTGTACTAGGGAATTGATATCCTATTTTTTTTTTTTTTGCGAAAGGGTCACTCATGGTGTGTGACAGAGGGAGTAGAGTTTAATTTTTTATTCTGGGTTTTTTTTCTTGGAAATTTTGGGGTTTCTGGGTTTTAATTCAGATATGAGAGTAGGAAGAAGATAATTATGTTTTCTACTCCTGGGTTTTAATGGTCACATAGCTCACCTTTTTAATGGAACATCTTCGAAGGGGCAACGGTGCGAGTAAATCATAATTTGGCTAACACTGCCTATGAAATTTTAAATGCGTAAAGGACCTATCTGGAAAATAGGCCAATCTTAAAGGAACACATGCATATTTTGCCTCTATGCTATCATGCTGTTCACATTTTCCTCTACTCCTAGTCCCATTTATTTAGAAATTTACTTATACAACAATATACATTATACATCAAACGATTAGAAAAAGGTTTTGGGTTTAAGTAGTCTTTCGTTAGATATGATTTATTTATTTTTGAATGGCATTTAGACATGATTTAATGAAAGGATATTTTGGCGTCAATTGATCCATGTACCTGTTGTCACTGAATTGGAAAAAACTTCTATTGTTGTTGTTATGCTCCCTAACTATCTCTTCTATATCCTAACACCTTTGTTGCCAGATTATTTTCTTTCTTTGATAGTATTTTTAGCATTGAGGTGACAGTAACCTCCCTCTTGAGAGAGTGACGTTAGCATGAAATTTAAAGCTGACTTTTGTATTTCCAAGAAATCTATTTTACCAATTTGCATCACTTGGTTTTACAAAATTCACAACACAAGTAATATAGGATCGAGTGAATTCTTAATGGTGCCGGTTTTTTTGGCTAAAACAGTTTTATGTTGTTAGGTATCGTATCACTGAGGGTGTTAATCTTCCCTTCAAAGTATTGCCAACCATCAAGGAACTTGGTCGAACACGGATGGAAGTAAATGTTAAGGTTTGAAAATCTTAATGTTGGACATCAAATCTAATGGAGGTTAAATACCATCCATTGTTTCCTTAATATTTATTTTTAACTCGTTGTTTCAGGTAAAGAGTGTCTTTGGTGCAAAGATGTTTGCTCTAGGAGTCGTTATCAAAATTCCCGTGCCAAAACAAACAGCTAAAACGAGTTTCACAGTCACATCTGGTCGAGCAAAATATAATGCAGCTATTGATTGTTTGGTTTGGAAGTACGTGTCTCACTTAATTTTGATTTTGTTATTGAAGTTGGCTTTTTTTACCTCTATTTTGGTATTTAGTATCTTCCTTTTGGTATATAGCTGTTCTTACATTGAATATCAATCTTTTGCAGAATAAGAAAATTTCCTGGGCAAACTGAGCCAACTCTCAGTGCAGAAATTGAACTTATCTCCACGATGACTGAAAAGAAATCATGGACTAGACCACCAATTCAGATGGAGTTTCAGGTTTGTTATCAGTTACTTCAACAAATCCCATGAAAATAAGAGGAAGCTTCCTGATTCCCGTGAAAGTATCTGTGAAAGCTTATTCATGAAATTTGTTGGATATGCAATTTATCTTAGTTTAGTTAGTGCCAGGTTAATTATATATACGCTATTGAGTGAAATTCTGAATTAGAGCCTGTACATTCAATATTAGATTTTGATATCCTACTTTGTTTTAGTTTTCACCAACAGACACGGTCTGCAATACATGCACTTCTTCAACTACATTTTGTTTAATGCAGGTTCCCATGTTCACAGCATCTGGCTTACGAGTCCGATTTCTTAAGGTATCTGTCATATGTTCTTTATTTATTTATCATTTTTTTATAACCAAGTGGTTTTATCTAATTTATTTCTGTCTGAAGGTGTGGGAAAAGAGTGGCTACAACACTGTTGAGTGGGTTCGCTATATTACAAAGGCCGGATCATACGAGATTAGGTGCTAGACACATTTGGATTGCTGGTTTCAAACGTCAGGAATTATTAATTGGTGGAGATTAATGCAGTCTCAAATAGTTAAAGATGCAGTTCAATCTAGGTATCCCATATTGCATAGTTTTTTTTTTCTCATTCATTATATTTTGCGTGTGAACTGATTCCAAAGCCAGTTTGGAAACATGAAATGATTCTCTCTATCTCCCATGTACACATTGTATTTTAATGATAATGTTTATTATTGAGTGATGCATTCTGTAATTTTTATGTGACATTTTTTGTTGGGTTGATATATACCTTATTATATTACTAATGGCAATACAGTCTTAGGTGCATGTTTATATTTAATAAGGTCAGAGATTGCTTCAACAATATTTATATACGTCGATACTGTAATTTTTTTTTACACACCCATCTAATTAAAATAATTTATATACTATTTTTTGAAATTAATTTATAGAAATTTTATAAGTACAATTTAATTGATAGCTGCAACGTTATTTGATCGGTAGAGTATTATTGTTATGTGCATAAAAATTAATTTCCTAATTTATCCTCTTTTTCTTTTCTACTAGTAAGTAATAGCTAGCAATGTTGATTTATTTTACTAGATCATTATTGAGTGAATTAAACTGTTCACTGTTTTTGTTATGGTTAAATTTTGATACTATTTTTCTATTACTTCAATTTTTCAGTTTTTTCCTTTTTAAATATGCTAGAAATGTAGTACTAATTTTCATTTTTTTTAATAATATTTCTGGACCAAAAGGAGACAGAAAATATCTTAGCCTTTCATTTATTATTGGCCGAAACAATAAAGTGTTAAATTTTGTTATAGAGATTAATCGGTCTAAAAAATTTTACCCTGACTATTCATCACTCATCAATATTATTTGTTGATATTATTTTATTAATAATTAAAATAAAAACCAAACTTTTATTTATTGATATTATTTTATTAATAATTAAAATAAAAGTCAATTTTTTTTTAATATTATGATTAACTGTTAGTGTGAAATCTATCTTTTTACACTGTCGGTGTTACCATATTAATCACCTTTTTCTTCCTTTATAATTTGATAAAATTGATTAACAAAATTTAAAATTTCAAAAGATGCAACTTGTTAGTACTTACTAGTACCAATCTGCCTTTCATTCTTTCATTTCTATTATAAAATTAATTAATAATATTACAAAATTTGACTTCTATTTTATATATTAATTTTTAATATGCTAAAATTGATTAATTGTAAATAAAACAATAATTTAATCTGCCTTTTATAAGAAATTGATTAGAGAGATTTAAGGAAGTTTCTAAAGAAATTTTAGTGCTTCTAAAAGATCTGAAACCAAATTCAAAAAACCTAACCCTCTGAATTATAAATAGTAAATTTTCATGAGAATAAAGACGGTAAAATCTATCCACTTGCACTCTTGCACTCTGTTATATCAAGAAGAGAGAAAAGAGTGACTTCACATAAATTGAATAATGTGATTTTAAGTGATTTTAAACTAACATAATGCAATAGCTAGTTCCACATTGAATGACTAATGCAATTCTTAAATGTCAATCAACAAACGAAACAACAAATTTGAAAGTGTTTTTTAATTAACTAACATTAATTAGAGAAAATCGACACCCATGAATAGAGATGACACGAACACAATATTAGTCTCCTATGTTCTCTATGAATAAATATAATATTTATATGTCTCATATTTATATGAATTAAATATGTATTTGTAAAATTTAAATTATAATTATATTTGTATATGTCTCATATTCATTATGAACAAAATATGTATTTGTATATTTTAAACTATTTATCGATATTTATGGATATTAAAAAATAGTATTATTTAAAATAATAACAAATTAAATTATTTTTTAAGAGTAATTAAGTTTTTACTAAAGAGTAATTAAGTTTAGGGTAATTCTTTAAATTTAAAATGAATTAATTATATGATTTAATTGAAATGTACTGACAGTGTAAAAAGATTTTACACAGTAAGTTAATTATATCTAATTTTTTATACTATCAGTTAATTATAGATGTTGGATGATAGAACAAGTTTGACTTTTATTTTAATAACTTATAAAATAATGCAAATGGATGATGATGATTAGGATTGTATTTGGACATATAGAACCGAAAAACCATCTGAGAACCGGTCCATTAAAATCGGACCATTGGACCGGCCGAAACGTCTTTTGGTTTGATAATGGATATAATTTTAATCTGTATCCAGACTAAAGAACCAGACCAATTAATCCAACGAGTACTTGGTAAGCATTGATATAAATTCTTAAATTTTTTCATTTCCTCATATTTTCCCTCTCTCTTTTTAGTAACACTTTCTCGTCTCTCACACTTCCTTCTCTATTCCGTCTCTCTCCCCTAGGGCTTCGTCTTCCTTGAGTTCTTTCCAAATTCCGATCAAGCCACAATGTTTACTTTCTGTTAGACACTTAGTGTGAATTGCTTAGGTTGTATTTTATCCTAATAATAATTGTTTGCCTTCTATTCTTAATAAAGAGGTTGTATTGTGTTATTTAGTTTTATTCATATTTTATATTACATTACATTATTGTTTGATTGATATTGAATTTTATGTCATGTCTTTTCAAGATTCTTCATTGACTCCAACCATGGATGATCTTATTGATATTAACATGTTGTTTGATGGGACTGGGGAAAATGAGACAATGGATGGAGGAAATATGGAGATTGGCGAGATGATTGATTTGGAACTTCCAGTTCCACTTCCAACTCACAACACTACTCAAAATACAACAACTACTCAAAATACTACTACTACTCAAAATACAACTACTACTGATGATGGGGAAACCCCTCCAGTTGACCCAGATCAGAGTTCTCATAGACAGATAAATGGCTTTGGTAAAGCTCCTCGTCCCAAGAAATCTGCTGTTCATACTGAAATGGTACTTACTGAAATGCCTGATGATACCAAGAAGTGGAAATGCAGATGGTGTGTCAAGCTTTACACTTATGATGTGAAATGGAAAAGTACTTATAATGGTAAGAAACATTTAGAAAATTGCATTTAGAGAAAGTTGAGGCTGAAAGGTAATACTGACGAAGAGGTTGCACAATCTAGATTAAATATAGGTGGTGATAGTACTTCTAGTTTGGCAACTTGGACATATAGTCATGCTAGGGTTAGAGAGGTTGCAACTCATATGAATTTCCTTTTTCTATTATAGGAGGTGTTATCTTTAATGAGTTTCTTAGAGAAATTTATCCAGGGTACAAAAAGATTATTAGACAACAAGTTATGTTTGATTGTGAGACATTTTATGAGGTTGAGAGAGTTAAGATGAAAAAGTCTATGTCTTTGATTAACATGATCAGTCTTACAACTGACCTGTGGTGGTCTGGTGAGCATAAAATTGGTTATATAAATGTGACCGGTCATTTTATTGATTCAAAACGACAACTTTACAAAAGAGTTTTATCTTTTAAGAATGTGCCACCACCACATTCTGGTGAGGTTTTGTGTAGGGAATTGATTAAGGTCATGGAAGATTGGGGCATAAGAGATAAGGTTATTTCAATTTCAGTTGATAATGCTAGTGCCAATGATAATTGCATTGCTAGATTGAAGAGAGATTATTCTGGTAGGAGAAATCTACCATTGGATGGTAAATTGTTTCACGTGAGATGTTGTGCACACATCTTAAATTTGTTGGTTCAGGATGGTCTTGATATGATTAAGGTGACTGTTGATAAGATTAGAAATGGGGTCAAATACTTGCTGAATTCTAAAACTAGATGCAAAGCATTCAAAAAATTTGTTGATGAGTTGCAGTTTGAAGGCAGAATGAAAGTGTTGGATACTAAGACAAGGTGAAACTCAACTTGGTTAATGTTGTCCACTGCATACCACTACAGAGAAGTCTGGCCAAGATATGCTGAAGAAAATGGAGCAATTCTCACCTTTTTTCCTAATGCAAATGATTGGGAAGATGTTCATGATATTTGCAAGTTTTTAGAGGTTTTTGTTGATGTTACATCAATTATTAGTGGCACCTCTTACCCTACTGCTAATTTGTTTTTGGATGAGCTTTACAGGGTGAAGGTTCTACTTGATAAACCTTCAAGTATCTCAAATAATCCTCAACTGCAAGCACTTGCTAATGAAATGAAGTTTAAATATGACAAGTATTGGTCAGAGTCTAATACATTGATTTCTATTGACACAGTTCTTGATCCAAGGTATGTATAACTTACAATTAGATAGTTAATTAAGCTGTCGTTGCATTGTACATTATGTAGCTACTATTCTGCTTGGTATGTTACCTTGTGCTTAAACCTAGGCCTATGATGAATTTTGATGCCCATGAAATAGTATTTGAGGTCACTTCTGTCTGAACTGCTTGTGAATTCTGTTTGATCAATTGTTCATATGCTGCCTATGATGAATTTTGTTGCCTTGTTGTGAGTTGTGATGAAATTGTGCCTATGATGAATTATATTGCCTTGTTATGAGTCACTGAGTTGTGATGAAATTGTGCCTATGATGGCTTCTAATTTATCTGAGGCCAAATGTGTTTGATCTGAGGCCAATTCTGTTTGATTTGCTTGTGAAATGATTCAATTATCTTACCTTGTGTGTTGTGACTCAATTGTGCCTAGGATTAAATTATGTTGCCTTTGAGTTGTGATTTAATTGTGCCTATGATGAATTATGTTTGATCTGCTTGATATGATTTAGTAGTCTTTGAGGCCAATTATGTTACCTCCTTGTGACTTTGGTTGTGTCTAAGGCCAATTCTGCTACCTCCTTGTGACTTTAGTTGCCTATGATGAAATCAAATTCTAAGGCCAAACATGTTGAAAGTAAATTATGCAAATAGGTATAGATGAATTTAAGTTGGTTGACAACTCTACTTGTTCAAATAGGTATAAAATGATCTTCATCAAATGGATATATCCCTTCTTGTATCCAAATCCTACTCAAGCCGCTGCCTATGAACAAGAGTTGG